GCATTTTTGAAGCTTTTTAGGAGGCAAGCTACAGCTATCTTCTCAGAGAACCAGACATTAATTTGGAGATTAGTTAGAACCATCTTCTACTTCAAGCATTTCACTGTCTTCACCCAAAAGAACAGATTAATTCACCGAAATGGCAAATAATCCCCTTCAAAAACTAGAGATGGTAGTGGGGAAGCCCAGCCCATGTGTGAAAGCAGACATCTTTGTACCCATCAACAGCCCAGCCCAACCCCCGTGTACGTTCTTCTGTATTCTTCCAGAATTTAATAGATCCTGGGCTTAAACACCTCAACTCTGCCAAAGTGTGTGGTCCTCTGGGGATATGTCTGCATCGCTGCTTTAGTTGGATCAAGGTGTCTTGTGATGTGAAGCTTCTGATCACCTCCACTTGCTCTGCAGAGCAGTCGCCAAGCACATCAGCTGGATTCCCCATGGATGAAGCCTAATGTACTTCAACAGAGGTCTAAAAATTGTACACCAGGTTTAAATATTGAGCTGAGAGCCAGCGAGAATATCTTTCAAGCTTAGTGAAAACATTCACTTTAGAGGATCTTTTTCAGTATTCTTACTGATAGTCATCTGCCAATCCCACCGCATTGCAAAGGATGCGTTTCATCTCCTACTACTGCTGAAATATTTTTAAGTTTAATTTTTCTAGATATGATTTAATTACACCATACCACAGCATATCATCATATTTGTGTTGCTGAAGCTCCTACTATTGCTGAAATATTTTTAATTTTTCTAGATATGATTTAATTACACCATACCACAGCATATCATCATATTTGTGTTGCTGAAGAACATACAACATAGCAACATAAGGAGGGTTGTCACAAAAAAAAAAATTATCGAGCAGTTTATGGAAAGAAGGAAACTACTACAGAACACTGCAACAGATTATTGTGAATTACTCACATCTTTAAGACAAGCTGCCTGGATATGATTTTTTACTAAAAAAATCTGCAATTTGAAAAGATTATTCCGTAACAAGTAGTATCAATAGGTGTAGTAGACTAATTTAATAAATGTAACATCTACTACAAAATAATTATTCCTTTCATTACACTCAAGAGTATTCAAGTTTTGACATGATAAGTTTAATTTTAAATGCAAGTATTTTTTTTTTCATTGGAGATATTTGTTTTTCTTAAAATACAACTCATACGTTCCTCTAACTTTAATTGAAAAATGCTTCTAAAGAAAAACATGGGATACTGAAGACAATACATGACTGGAGTTTAAAATATTGCCAATTTTGTATTAGTAAAAATAAGTACAGAATTTTTTTTGAAAGGCGGTTTTTGAGGTGGTTTTTTTACTAGAACAAAAGGTATCAAGAATAAAAACTACTATGCAAACAAAAGGCAAGTTCTACTTAGAAGAAACCTCAGCAAGATCCTCAAAAGTATTTTTTAAAAGTGATTTCAGTGATCTATTTCTGCCCATCCTGGTCACTTAGGTGTTTCAACAGTACATTTTAAACTTGAAATTAGCATTGTAACATCCAGTAGCTTACCTATGTTATGACTGAAATACACTGAACATAACATGTAGGAAATACTGTCTGTTTCAAAGAGGTAGATGTGAAATCTGAAAACATATTAAAGTAAGTGAAAATCCAGGTCAGAGGACATTCAAGGAAAGGAGAGCAGAAGTTAAGACAGAGTCTTAGTCTTTTTCTTACCTAATATAATATTCATTCATCTCACTCTTAGCTGAATAATTAGAAAGAACATTTCACTAAACTCAGTTTTCCTTAAGAACTCTGAAAAAAGCACCTTTCCAGTACTAGAGATTTGAGATTTCTTCTAAGGATTTCCGCATCTTACTAACAAAGAATCACTGAATTTCACTTTAAAGTACCATAGTAGGAAATGTGAGAAATTACAGTGGTAACTCTGATGCAATGTTTTATGACACTTCTTTTCAAAAAAATTCTCATCTGTACCACTTCCTGAGTGAATAGGAGGCACAAAATTCAAAGACTTAGAAGGCTGTCAGTGTAGCATCTTCATTTGCAAGACATTAAACAATAATATAATGAAAAATGTGTGCTTTTGAGGGGTCACATTAATAAAAAGATAAAGATGACAAGTCTTTTGCTGGAATTCAGTATTAATTCAGTAAAGCAGGTGGAATGGAAGATTTGCCTGAGTCATATACTAGTAGCATCTTGGCACAAATATTTTCACCAGAAATTTAAGTAAAAGTGTAAACTGGGCTGGGACTCCCTGTGGGAGGAACACGCATGCTTTTCTACTCATTTTGCAAAACGTAAGGACCTCTGGCAAGGAGTTTGCTGTACGACTAACACCAGTAATATTTCAAAATTCTAACTGAGGTTTAAGTGCTCAGTGCACATGAACATTGGAACGTGTCGCTGAGGAAGCAGTTTGCGTTCAGGCCCTAGAGCTAGGTCTATGCTGTGTGGTTGCAGTACTAATTAGGGAATACACAATCTAATTCCAATGTACCTAGCTTAGCACTGCAATGAAGTTGTGGGAGCATCTAGCAAGTGGATGCTGTGAAGTCCTTCACCTTTGGCAAGAGCTCCAGGTAAACATCCTCTATGGTAACTCACTATACTCCTTCAAATCCTTCCTTAAAAAATTATTTTTCATGATACATCACCAAAATATTTGCCTAGCTCACTGATACAGCACAACAAGCGTCTGCTACACTAACATTTCTCTTTCGTGTTTTATAGTAATACACATATATATTAATCACCTTTGTCCACCAACTGTAGCAACAACTACCTATTTTTTGTTTTGTGCTGCTACAGCTCCAAATCCAGTGGCACCCTAGCCCACTACTGGGACTCAGTCATACATCCATACAAAGAATCCCATTAAAGAATCACATGGTCTAAGAGGGATATAGACTAAAACCTGTCTTCCTTTCAGTTAAAAACCAGTAGCAGCCTGATTAGCAGCCAAACAGTATTTTTTCTACATATGCATTATAAGTTACTGTTTCCATGAGGGATGAAGTTTAAAAAGTATATACACAGTTCCTTCATGAACCTTTTCAAGTGGTTCATGCATATTCTGGGGAAAAAAAGAAGAAACAAATTGAACATTTTCTGTTCTTCATCAACTTTCACATTTTTATTCCTTGCTTCACTGACAGCCTGAAACCGCTTCCGGTAATAGTTGAAGAGCTCTGCAACATGCTTCAGAATTGAAACAACGCAACTTCAGTGACCCTGACATTTTACAAAACTACAATCTTTACTTAGAAAGATTTGGCATATTTTGCAAATAATTGGCATATTACAGAAAAGTGTTAAAGAAATAGATATATATCTGTATATTGTACCAATTAAAAAAGGCAAGAATGTGCTGCTGTAATACTTTCCCAGTGAAGAAACAGGAAATACACTGTTTAGAGCAGTATCCTTAAACTGGATCCAGCAAGATACATTGAAAGCTACTTATGAAACATTATGAGTGAATGAATCAACAATCCTGATAGTAGAGAGGGGGATTACAGTGGTTTGCAAATGGAGAAAAAACAACAACAAAAAAAATCTGACTTCACAGCAGCAATGTTCTCTTCATAGATGAGGTGCTTAGGGACATGGTTTAGTGGGCATGGTGGTGTTGGGCTGACGGTTGGACTTGATGATCTTAGAGGTCTTTTCCAACCTTAATGATTCTATGATTCTATGACGTGAGTTTTCAGATTTTGATTTCAGGATAATAAGCAGTGAACAAGTTGGCCAGGAAATCATTTCACTTTATGCCACCATCTATCAATCAATGCTTTTAAGATAGCGTTCTGCTAGTTCTGCAAGAACTTGGGAAAACTGAAGACCCACAGATTTTTGTTTGTACAATTTCTAATCTGGAAAAAAAAAATAACCATAAAAACCTAACTAGCCCCCAAGGTGATGTTAAATGACACCATATACTGTGTTATAACAAATTAACACAAAAATATTTTCAAAGACATCTTTTGGATGAAAACATTTTAAAGTATTTTACAAAAATAACATAAACTACTTTTTTTTTTTTCCAAATGAACAGCTATAAAATCCATGAACCAAACAACATATAACATTGACACAAGATGAAATATATTACACTAAAGGCCAGTTAATTACCACAGTGGTATGAAGCTTCAAGTAAATTACTAGGCACTTTTTGCCCAAAGAGTAGTCACTCATTCAGTGGAAAGGTCCAACTGACAGAAACGCCTGAAACATAATTGCTAAAGCTTTCCAAGATTCTAAATTCCTCAAAAAAGTGCAGATAAAAAGGCAAAGACAAAAAGGCCACATATTATGCCACACGGGACACCTAATGTTAGCTGCTTTCCTTACATGACTGTGTTCAACTTAGCTGGAGTTCCAAAAATGGTGTTAACAAGTCAGCCTTCTCCATCTTACATGGGCATTTCTGTTAAGGCTTTACATGCCAGAGCAGAGAGAAGCAATAGCAGCTCCAGACGCATGGGAAAACAGATAGAAAGGCTGCAGGATTATAGGTGAGCAAGTACAAAGCAGCAGAACAGACTTGAACTTCGCTCTGATTTGGAAGAGCACTCGTTATTGCAGAATACAAAGCAGTAATACATGTTGTGCTCTGTACCAGCCAATTTGTAATTGTGTGAATGACCCAGCACCACAATCCGATATTCTCAAGATCCCCAATATCTAGAAGCTCAATCTTCCAGCAAACAAAAGAATGCACTGTCATGTAGGAATTTAAGTACCAGTAACATGCATAAGTTACTATGAAAAACTGCTATTAAAATACCTAACATAATAGGCTAGGATAGGAAGACAATAAAGGGCAACTAAAGCAAGTAATTACGTATGTCAAAGTACTTTAAAAAGCATTATTGATATTTAATATAAGATTGTATTAATTTAAAAGTTAAAAATTTTAGAAAGCAGCAGTTTGCGGCATGATTTTAAAGCACAGTTTGTTTTTTGGGAAGAAAAGCATAGCACTGAGTAGTCCTTAAGAAATCACGTCATCTCAATTAGGTGCAAAGTTCTCCAGCTGGAAGACCAGGTCTACAGCAGCATCAACATCTGGTACAATATGATCTGGTTCTACCAAACCAGAATCAAATCTAAAATCTCTGTGGCCGTGGAACACTGTTTCAGTTATGCTCTCCCTGGTATCCAAGGGTACCTCTGTGTGAGGGTTGTAAACCCCAGTACAAACAAGAACAGATCTACAACGGGCAGCAGCTGCAGATGCTAATTCAGTCTCCCAACTGTTGTCTAATTCATCGTCCTGAGAGACAGTGGCAGATCCTCTGCCACCAGCAACTTTGGCCTGAATCCGTGATTTTGAACCTTTCCTGGAGTTCTCTTCCAGATAGCGATTGTAAAGGTTAGCACCATAGACATCAGTCATGAGATTATCTCTGGAAACGTAAGAAGAAAGTTCAGTCAGCAGTGCAATGTTAGTTGTCAAATTTCAATTTTATGAAAGACATTTTTACAGTTTCGATTTAACAGTTTATTTTATACTTTACATAACTTTATGTGGAAGTATGCAGATAGGAAAAAATCCAATCCTATAGCTATTTTATAACACCACTGTCATTAAGCGTGACATATGACAGAAGTGAATAACTCTCCATATTGAAATTGCAGACTGGGGCAGGGGGAGGGGAAATCAAGGATAGGTATTAGCAGTCCATGAATGAGCTTATTATATTTCCAAACATCTTGGAGATCCTGGAACAGTCTTGAATACAATACAGCTTTATCTCTTTCTATAAAAAGGATTCTATGATGTGACAGCACGCACAGTAGCATATGACTGAGCTTAACAACCTCACAAATAAATTCTAGCTCTACATTGCCAAATAACCATCATTTACTCAAAGCTTGTTGGTGTTATACCACTAAACCTAACAAAACAAAACACCCATGCAACTTCTTTTTGTTAGATTTACACAGCCTATTACAGAAATTAAAACAAAAATAATTTTTAAAAAATCAGGAGAAATCTTAGTTGCATATAAACCACTTTTTGTGCTTCTACAGAAATTACACATAGAAAGAGTGAAGTATTATTAATTTTCAAGATTAGAAACAGTGATGCTCGAAAACATTACAAAAAGTACACCATAGCACCAAGAAGGAGGTCCCAATGGTATAAGAAACAAAGTAGTAAGAGTTGTGTATTTTTCATTGCTGGTACATAAGTTGCGAGTAATTTCCTGATGAACTTGTTAGACTTATGATACCTTACCCGACAGCATAGAGAGTTTGAATAGGTTGCTTCCACTGTCTTTCTGCTGCCTGAGCCCTGATGAGGTATTCCGCGTACTGGTAGGTCAGTTTGCTAGGTTTGCCCATTAAGGCCTCGTATTTCAGATCTTTGCCAGTGATCTTCTTGTAAATGTTTTCCAAACAAACCATGAATGTTCCATGCCCAAACCTACACAGATATAAAGAGAAATCAAATCATATTAAGTACCGATAAAAAAACCAAGACTTTTTAATTTCATGATCTTTTAGGAATCATAGAATCATAGAATCAT